TCTAGGCCTATCTCTACTTCGTTTCTCTTCAATTTGTCCTGTTACCGCTAAACTTTCTAGCTTTGAGACCACTACTTTAAGTCAATCTAGGCCTACCTCTACTTCGTTTCTCTTCAATTTGTCCTGTTACCGCTAAACTTTCTAGCTTTTGAGACCACTACTTTAAGTCAATCTAGGCCTACCTCTACTTCGTTTCTCTTCCATTTGATCTGTTACCGTTAAACTTTTTAACTATGAGACTGCTGTTGTAAGTCAATCTAGGCCTATCTCTACTTCGTTTCTCTTCAAGTTGTCCTCTTACCGCTAAACTTTTTAACTTTGAGACCACTGCTGTAAGTCAATCTAGGCCTTCCTCTACTTCGTTTCTATTCAAGTTGTCCTATTACCGCTAAACTTTCTAACTCTGAGACTGCTGTTGTAAGTCAATCTGGGCCTATCTTTACTTCTTTTCTCTTCAAGTTGTCCTGTTACCACTAAACTTTTTAACTTTGAGACCACTGCTGTGAGTCAATCTAGGCCTATCTCAACTTCGTTTCTCTTTAATTTGTCCTGTTACCGCTAAACTTTCTAACTTTTATTTTCTCATTACGCGACTTAGAACTGAAGTTTTCTTCTGATTGTTATATCCGCGTGTTACTATTCTTCTCAGTATTGACCTTTGACCAAGACTGTAAAAATTGAAAGACTGTGTGTGGTACAATTTGCTTCATCAATACAGTCTCATTACATGTAGCAGAGAGTAAAACCTTCGCAATGACAAAGGACAGGAACTGTATATTCGACGGACCGTTCTGTATGGTTGAATGCTAGACGATTTATATACAATCAAAGGCAGCTACGTGAAGGTCAAGTTTCACGTAGTTCAAATTCTCGTATGTGAAGATTTTACTCATGTACTTTAATCTACCCTATTCTCTTCTCTCGACGTCTTAGTCGAGATTTTTTTCTTCTACCGACAGCAGATTTCCCGGCAGAATCACATTAAGACAATTGATTTACAACGACAAAGAAAGGAACTGAACCGGTGGTCTCAACGCGGTCAGATACTAGGTTAATTAGGCAAGACAACAGCGCCAAAGTTGCCGACGCACCAACGCCTGGTGAGATATAACCTCGGGTTACTGCTTCAACACGCATACCCCAGCGAACGAATGAAAGATTTGTTATAAGGAAGATTATTGCAAGTATATTCCAACGTTATCATTATCAGAGAAAAATTACGTCTATGGAGGATTACAGATTTCAGTTTTGTTTATACGTCAAATCTGTGTGTCGTAAATATGGTGGAGCAGCGAAGTATAATCTATTTCTGTGAGTGAATAAGTCTAGTCTGTTTTTATGGGTGAATATGACTGTGTTTCTGCGAGTCAAATATCTGAATATGTAGGTGGTTGCTTCATCTTTTTTGTTCAAATTTCACGTGGTTTTGATTCATTGAATCTTGAGAAGCTGATATGCAGTGACCAAATATTTAGGGGGAGGCGTCTGTTTCACGCAATATGGCACCTATAGCGCTTTTTTTTTTAATTTAGAAGTGTTTTAGCACGTTCCTTTGTTTTTTAATTTAGGAATGTTTAGCACGTTCCTTTGTTTATTTAATTTAGAAATGTTTAGCACGTTCCTTTGTTTTTAATTTAGGAGTGTTCTAACACGTTCTTTTGTTTTTTAATTTAGGAGTGTTTCAGCACGTTCCTTTATTTAATTTTGGAATTTTTCATCATATTCCTTTGTTTTTTTAATGTAGGAATATTTTAGCACGAGGTATATGGGTAACACAATATAATATTTTAAACTATGAAATTAACGCGGGGAAATGAAATACATAAAGTTTTTACTTAAAAGACGTTTTGGAATTCAGTCATTTCGAAAGTGATCACAAGCGAATGTATAAAGATTAGTCAACAGAAACGTTTCTATAATGTTGCCTGGCCCTAGTTTACATAGGTTTCATCTGAAGTTATAAAACAGCACGTTAAACACAATAACGCTTGATTTTATCTGACAAGGATTAAAGAAAGTTTAAAATCTTTTTGATGTGTGTGTGACTATTATTAACAGATAGAGGGCGACACCACAAATCAGAAACATGTAGTACATTGTTGGTTGTCATTTCAATATTAAGGGAATTGCCTTCTACGTTATTTGCTGTGAAGTCATGGATCGTCAGTGGTTGACGTTCTTGTTATAGATAAAGGTTCGAACCTGGACATATGACAAGAAGCAACGCTTATTTAATTTGTGTCTTACATACCTCAAACGGAGATAAATTAAACAGGTCAACTAATTCTTTGAATGATCAGCTGTCCACTACTCCTTCCAGCAAGTGAAAAGATAGCTGCTAAATAACTGTTGTAATAGTAAAACCAGAAACGAACGGAGCAGGATCCCAGACTTGGAAAACAAGGAGAGGCCTCTCATCTGGTGGAAATGTTCAGAACCTCAACAATGTTTGTCTCTTTTCTTTTCAATTTAATCCTAACGTAGGATTACAACTTATATATATATAAAAAATTAAAGGCATTTGACTCATTGAATATTAATGAAATAGGATTCTGAAAATTATTGACATTATAAATATATCTTTTTCTCTGTGTATTGGTGTAATTGTCTCCCAGTTGTCCGGGAGAGAATTGGGAAATAATGGATTTCTCTGATGTAAAAAATTCACGTGTACTAGTGTAGCTGCATTGATGCAACGATATCAGTCATAGTATAAAATTTAGGAACATAAAACTAATGCATAGCCTTAATTTATCCGATTCGGACTAAAAATGTAGGGTTATCTTTGCCCTTCAGGACGTATGCCATTTGGTGTCATTACGCATGTTCATGCAAGAGAGGACATAGGACTAAATGAATAAACATAATACATGAAGGTTGGACGGTCAATAATGTATCTTAACAAATCGTGTTAATATCAACATTGGGTTTAATGTTTGTAGAAAGTTTCCACAGTTTCATAAATTATCCGTATATATTGGACAGATATGGAGTAATTTGGTCGGGAATGACATTTTTGTGATTCCCGTCAACCCTTATGGCTGCCGGAAGGAGCGTTCCCTCGAACACGCAGCTTACACAACACTAGGCCTATTCTACGGAAAAGGCGTTCCCTCGAACACGCAGCTTACACATCACTAGGCCTATTCTAGAATCGTTTGTCCATATTCTGTTAGATTTCTGTCAAAAGCTGTTCAGATTTTTAAGAGATTTGTCTAGAGAACTGGGAAGTTATTATACTGATCTACATTTTTCTAGTTTTTAATAGAAGTTTCAAACGTACAAAACAACAGGTTGTGTCTAGTTTAACCGTTCTTCAATTCAATAATGACATTTAAATATTTAATGTTAATAATTATGCTTGTACCAAAGTTGACTAATATAGTCTTGTTCTCACTGTCTGTTGTAGTACCACGTCTTCACCTGGATATGTTTTAAATTTAGCAACAACTTGTGTTTGATCTTGGACACTAAGGTTTTGGTTGTTTGTTTGTGATTAAGCACAAAGCTGCACAAGGGGTTATCTGTGCTCTGCCCACCACGGGTATCGAAACCCGGATTCTAGCGTTGTAAGTCCGCAGACATACCGCTGTGCCACTGGGGGGCTAGACACTAAGGAACTCTGTTGGTTACAGACTTTTTTGGCAAATTCTGAAATATTAGTTTCGATTTTAATATCAACAACCCACTTTCATTAATTTTTTTTTTAACTAAAGAAACGGTCAATATGGGAATTATGAAATAAACACATGCGATAATCATAACTGAAACTTGAATCAAATGGTGAACTTCTGACTGGT